GGGGGGGGGGGGGGGGGGGGGGAGAGGGAGCACGACAATCCATATATATAATACTCTCTACGCTCTTGCCTTTGAGATCGTGTCGATTAATAAAGCGTTCGTCACACCACCCTCGATTGTGTGAATAATTTCGATGGAGATAAGAAATAACAAGAGGGAGGATATTCCCTCCTTGGCCTGTCTAAGCAGACGTAAGAGGGCAAACAGTATGCGTCAAATTAGTGTGGTCTATCAAAGCGCGACAATAAACTACAAAACGCCACATTACTGTGCCCAACCAACTACATAACATACTTACCTTCACTACCTAAAAAGCTTTACACTTCCTCCTGTTATTTCTTACCTCCATGATAATTTCGTACATGCTAACATTTATGAAGTAGTGCATGGAGTATATGGTAACATAGATGATTTCGTCTGCTGTGAAGGTTTCATTTTTTGGATATACGCTTCCATGCATGCACCAATCAACGATCAATTTTTATATCGGAGTCGATAATATGCTCCAAAATCATCTGTGAATGTAAATATCATATATATCGTGTCACAAACCAACGTATCAATTCACAAGTTGACATTGAAATAACAATATGGAGCAAGGAGCAAGTTGCCGTGTTAATTGAAGTATATAAAAAAGAAAACTTGCTATAAGATTTAAAGCATTAAAATTACGTTAGTTATGACACGATGATGTGACTTACATTCTCAAATGATTTTGAAGCATATTATCGGCTCCGATATGAAAATTGATCACTGATTAATGCATGTATGAAAGCGTGTACGAAAAAATGTAATACTTCATAATCAATGAAATTAAATACGTTATCATGCACAACTTCAGTAGCATGTACAAAATTATTCACACAATCGAGGGTCGTGACGAGCGTTTAAAACGATCCGATAAATGATGGTGAGTTCACCACGAATTCTCGCGCGCGTACATCGATACCATTGGGTGCGCAAATTAATTCGGTGCTCTTCTTGAAGAAATTGAGTCTTTATTTACAGAAAAAAAATAATAAACATGTCAATCTCCGAAATATTTTCTATCATTTTCTAATGCCTTTATCCATCTATCGGGCAGCTGATGAATCTCCTCTCGAAAATAAAACGGCGACTTTAAGTCGATAAAGTCGTTGATGCATTTTCGAATCTCTTCCATCGCTTTTAAAGTGTATGTTAGCCAAATGGTATTGGAGCAATCGGAATAGATAGTAATTCAAAGGAGCTAGGTTTGGTGAATAAGCCGCATGAGGAAGGACTTCCCAGTCCAACGAATAAATAGTGTCCCTTTTGCGACGTGTAGCCGAGCGTTCTTCATCGGTAAGATGGAAATCACCACTCTGAAACTTTTGGTATCACTTTATACAGATTTTATGCGGGTTTCCTTTCCTCAAAACTGAACAAAATTTGTCTCGGCAGCATTTTTTTCAGTTGGAAAGCAAAAAGATTACAATATCTAATGTGGTGTTTGTCGGACGTCATCGTATTTGATATCATTTTGTGAGGCTTTGTTATTTTCGTGTCAATTATATTTAAATCTTAAGGTTGGTATTTCAAAACCCATTAAACGGCGGGAAGATATTTGAATTAATATAATTTAAATCAATAAGATGATTTTAATTAATATGATTGATTAAAGCTAAAGGCATCGAATTAATTTGCGCATCTAATACCTTCTACGCGTTACTCAGAGACAAATATATAAAATCGGTTACTTCAGTTCCCTTGGAAGAAACCGTGTCCCTCGGTTAGTCGCGACGAAAAGAGAACGGTCGGAATGGTTTTCTAAAATCCGATTACGTCGGCCGACTTAAGAGGATTTTCGTGAAAACTACGTCGCGTCCGCGTTTGAAATCCGTTGTGCTTATAAAGATGACAGGATTTATCTTGCCGCGTTTCTTTGTATTCGGTAACAATGAAATTTGTCCCCTTTCTCGCGAATAAGGCCGATTCTCACGTAGGCGTCGCGGTACATGCCTCTTTGATGTAGAAATTGCACCCTGCAATGAGCACGTCGTGGCTATTCGTAAACGTCACTTTAATTCTCGCCTTATTTACGAGCGATACTTATGTACCTCGCGCAATGTGCGAGTCGCTCGCTGACGACATCGTGCGCCGTTCACGTAATGTTACGTGTGAATCATGGCTACTTATGTAGGCTAAAAATATTCACTCCGTCCATCCATCCATCATATCCCGTCGGTTTAAATTTAGCGAGTTAGTGGAATTAATATCGTTTGCCTTAACTGTCATTCATCTTTATCGCGAATCTAATGATCTAATGTCTGGCAATAATGTAATTAGATCTAAGCGATCTAATGTCACTTGCATAATTTCATTTTAGCAGTCGGTCTATTCTAAGCCGGATATTCACGGATATCCGGGATTGATTCTGTCACTTATTTCGATATCGCTCCTAATACGAGTTTCGTTTCCTCCTGATTTCAGGCTGAACTACCTGATGGCGGGCTTGAGTCCGATGTGGTATCATGCCACGAACGTCGCCCTGCACGCCGCCGCCTGCATCTTGGTCACCAGGGTGAGTCTCGTGGTAGCGGCATTACGGCCAGGATTCGCGGCTCTCACCGGGCTGTTGTTCGCTGCGCATCCCGTGCACACGGAAGCGGTAAGTACGCGTATCTCGCGCCTCTCCTCTGGAAAAACGTCGGCGCTTCTCGAGTCGACCCCACTTTTGACCGCAATATTCCGCTTACTTTGATATTCCGGAGCGTGGGAAAACATGTGAGTGGAATACAAGGTATTTCTGCACTGAGAGAAAAAGTGGTTGAGTCAATGGGAGTTTGCTTTAATAAACAAAATTCCTCCAAGGAAACGTTTAGTCGATTGAACGAATTGAATTATATATTTCCTGTAATGAGAGTTATCAATTGATTCAATGGTCGCGATCTGGTCAGTAACTATATCAACGTAGCTTGTTGTTGTACCAACACGTAATTTTTCCAATAAGTACAGTATCTCTTTGAGGGCGAGTGATTTCAACCGCCTTCCAACTGTTTTTTTCGCCGATTTCCAACTGTTTTTTCTCACTGTGTGGACGCGAGATGTGAAGCTTCAGGAATAAAGCTTCACATCTCGCAACTTCCGTTGCGGCTTTCTTTCTTGATAAAAATTAACACATATATAACACACGATATATGTAGACTCGGATATATTTTCACGTCATGCGCAGCCGTGCGACGCGATTTTGACCGAGATATTGCTGCGTTATGTATGCTGTAAACAAAAATAATGGTTGTAGTAAAATGTGTTCTATCTTCTTCTACAATATGCCTAATTGCTATGTGAAAGGCTGCAAAAGTAAAAAAACCGCAAGATGAATAAATAAGATATAATTAGAACGGAGACAATCTCGTGCCGCTGCTATCTTAGCTGATCGTATCCATCACAATTCGCTTTCCCCTCAAGTTTCAACCCCGAAGAAACATGCTTCTAGGTTCATGCTCTGAAGCCTATATCAATCTCTTTTGATTCTATTTAACCTACTAACTTTGTCGAGAAGCCTCCTTTAAGGCCTACAAGATGCATTGTGTGTGTTTTCTACACACACTCTTAGGAGTCGCTAAGTACAACTTTAGTTTCTATGTATCAAACATACACTGGCCCTTCCGAATATATGACAAGGTCGTGAGTACGGCTAAACTTTCGACTCGGTCGGGTACGGTCGTCGAATGTTCTCCAAATTCGATATTCGATCTTGAGCTTAGGCATATCATCGCCGCGTTAATCTGATCTCTACGGCACACGCCTCTTGTCTTCGCGTTTCTTGTCACTGATTAATCTTCCGGATAAACGTAATTACTGCATTCACGACCGTCACTTTGTTTGATCATACTTGCGTGTTAGCCTGGCTGGCTTTCGTTCTCGCCGCGCTGCTCATCGCTTAGTTAATATTCAATAGCATATTCCTGAACATGTACTTACGTGTTACATGGCCTACGGCACAATGGCAAATTCACGCTAAACCAAACAAAACAACAAGATTAGGGGAGTCCACTCGCTGCGTAACTGCTTCGCGTGCGCGTGCGGAATCGGGCTGATCCGCTTTTCCTAAGTGCATAAACGTAATTAGCCTAATCTTATTATGGCTATGATCGTGACGGACAGAATTTGAAGCGTTCCCGTGTACGCCGCCTCTGGGGGAGAGCGGCTGTTGTTTCAAGATAGACCTGTTTTTGTTGTAATCAACGTTAGCGCTCATGGAACATAAGAGAAACAATTAGTTGGGATATGGGTTACTTTGGGCAAATCATGAGTTTTTTTTCGGGCTGCATGACGTAAGCAGACGATATTAGAGAGTCGTGAGCTTCCATCGAGAACTTGCACGATGCGCCGAATCGGAGGACGATGAACTTCTTGACATTGTCGATGATGCCACTTGAGTTTTGCTTAAACGCGTAAACGTACTGATGCTTCGTTCACTGTTATCGCGTGAATTACCCGGCACTTCTGGAAATAGAAATTCGGAGAGCTCCGTTAGATCAAGAAGTTGTGAAACGGTCGGAAATACACTGTCGGCAATTACAACGAACTTTCGACGGCGGAGTTTACGCGAGTCGACGAAAGATTGCCGAATTCCGCTGAAAGCAATCACCGAAGAAACACACAACGTATTAACCCTCCGAGTGACAACGTATTTTACCTCTTCGGAGTGGCAACCAGGCTCATTAGTGTCTTTCTCGATTTTTCTCACCCTGCTTGGTGTACTCGAAAAAATCCTTAAAAGTAATTGAAACTTCCCTCATTCTTCTAGTTGAAGATCACACAACTTTTTTGTGGAAAATTCCCAACTAGTTTGCTTTTAATTAAACTATATATCAAAGACTCTAAGATATGCAATTTAATTAAGAGAAAGGGAAAGGCTATAAGAGCCGTGCGCTGGATGTTTGTGTGAATATTTAATTAATAAGGACATTAAGAAGGGAGATGCGCTGGAACCAAAATCCTTACTGAATACCAAAATCCTTACGAAATACTAACTTTTCTGCAAAGTTTAAATTGTGTTAGCGTTGCACAGAATTACAAATATTCTTATATAATAAAAATACGTGCAAGAATAAATTAGAGCATATATGAGAAAAGCGATAAAAATGTGCAAAGTTGACATTTTAAGTATAAATTCGTTTATCAGGCGCTCCTGAGTATTCGTCCATCTCTTCTTAATGATAAAACAAGAAAGTACACGCTAAAAATTCTTGTGCATTATGTCGTATAAATATTATGTAGATATATAAAACGATATATCCACAAAATAACACCTGCGATCAATTAAGTACACCACTAAAATATTCCGTACAATTTCTAACAATTAATAAATAATCGTAAAATTAATATTAATATGGATGATGAGAAAATTAAGTTAAAAAAGAAAGTGAATATCACGTTAATTTTATGCTTATTTATTGATTGTTAAAACACAAGAAAAATATACAGAATATTTAAAATATTCGCCTGATACAAAAGATGTGTAGTTTATATACTGAACACGGGATTATTTTGCTCAGAAAAATTTTAAAGGACATTACTGTACGTTTATATCTGAATTTAAAAGTTTAAAAATGTCGGAGAAATTTTCAGAAAGATTTTTCTATATACATGCGGTTAAATTTTCTGCTAAATATAGTAAAACAAAGTGACATACAATTATTAATATGTACATAAAATCTATATGTACAAGAAACACGAAAAAGATAGTGTGATTGTGTTAGTGACGATCGTCCTACGTCATCGACATTTTTGGAGTTGATTATCAATTCCAGCTTCCCTTTAAATAGAAGCCAAATAAATACAAAATTAGGATTTTAAAAAGAAATGGAAGAAAGATTAAATCAATTATAATCGGGGTTAAGAATTGGTTTAATGTGGGAGGTTTGATTCATCACGTGGTAAGATCAGAAAAATTTTCGGCGCGTGCGTTTACACTGTGTTAAACAATATTACTGTTTCTCTCAAGTCGACATAAGAGTCTGGCACTGCGCGTTTAATTTATTGACGTTTATTTCAACTGAATCCTGGACACAAATAGGCAGACAACTACAGCAGATCAGGAAGACGCCGTCGTAGAAAGTAGAGTATAGTCGCAGCAAGACCAGGAAAGGTGCCGACATAGAAGGCAAGTTGCTGCAGGATTTGGAAGGTGCCGACGGAGACAGTTGCTGGAAGACAGGAATTCAGCGTCAAAAGCGGCGGAAAGCTGCAAATACTGACAAAGGAAGCGGCAGACGGTCGTTGGAGAATAGAAAACGCCAAATCTGAAAACAGATTTTGGAAGCTTCCTCGGCGCATTCTGCGTAGCAACTCCGTAGAAGAGAAGGTTGCGAGAGATCTTGGACCAAGCGCACACTGTACAACAACTCCGTAGAGGAGAGGACAGGTAGAGTTAGGCACTCAATAAAAATTAGTGATGCACTTAGTAGACAGAAGTCTATTCATGTCTGTTCACATTAGAGAATTAACGAGAATTGCGCTCGAAGAAAGGAAGAAGAGAAAAATCAAGAGAACGCTTGTTAATTATGAAAGCCGTTACCTTGCAACTAGAGTGATTTTAACCATCGTGTGTCTGAAAAATTCGCGACTCGTCTTAATCACTATCCGAGAAGAAGAGTGAAATTATCCTCACAAGCCACATATTCTTGGCTTGCACAAATATTGGCCAGCTGCAGCCTTATATCATTCGTTTTTCCAACAATTACCTTCTTGAATAATTTAATTATTCACATTAATATCCAGCGCATGTCCTTTATAGACTTTGTCTTTTTTGTTATTCTTAATGATTTTTTATTTTCTTATTTTACTTTCTTTTTATTTAAAAATGCTCCAAGAAACGAGTACTTGGCCCGATACAAATAGCCGATACAAATGATCTTGGTTGCTTGAAGGGTCAGTAACGCGTGATTTTGCCTCATCGTGAAGTATTTCATGAAAAATTGGTATGCGAAATTTCCATTCCCTCCAAGGGGTGCCAACGGCTTGTGTTTATTCGCGACTCGACCGCAAAGTGGCGCGTATCGCAGTTGGCAATCAATGCATTGTACCTTTCTCTTTTTTCTTCCTCTCCCTCTTTCTCTTCTTCTTCCCCTTCCTCTCTCTTTCTCTTTCTCTCTCTCTCTCTCTCTCTTTCTTTCTCGTAATTATGAATACGCAATCGCAGGAAAAATACGGGAGTCGGATTGTATGGGCTCATAAACAAAGGCGAATTCCCGCGTCATTAGCTCGGGGGGTCGTGCCTTTTGAGCGAAATTATTGGCGGCACACGACACTGGTTCGCGAGTCCAGCCTACCCATTACAAGCTCGACCTGCTTGCCGGTCACGCACTGCATCCTGTTACATCACGTGCGTGCGATATCGCATGTATTACTCGTTGCGTGCACGGCCAGCACCCTCGTTGCCAGTGTCACTATTGTGATATCATGTTCATGTCGTATGGTCGAATCAGATATAAGGTGTGCTCTCGTGTGTATATATATATATATAGATCAAATATATCTCGGGTCCCTTCGATGATTGCGCGGATTTATGCACGAATGTCCCGCAATCATTTTCCCAATTTCACGCCAGTGATGCGAGGAACGTTAGTTATTTTTGAATGTTTTCATATGTTTTTATAT